TGGGCAATCTACTTCCATAGTGATACTGCCTCGGAAACCCAAGGAGGGGTCACTATGAGTCGGGTCCAACTCAATGGCACATAACAACAACAACAACAGCATTCAGTTCTAAGGACAGATTAACATTAACCAAACACACAGAAGGCTTAATTAAGAACCAGAAGCCAGTTATCAATTTACACTGAGAAATATACCTGCCTGCTGACTACAATATTTGGGTTGGTTTTCCAATGTGTTCTTCTCCTATTAGGAAGCTAAATCATTATACAAAAGGCTTTTAGGTGAATGTAGAGTTAAGATTATGAGGTACCGGTTCAGTAGAAGAACTCTCACCTTCCCTGTAGGAGACCCTGGTTCATTTGGCACCAGGGCACCTCTTGCACAGCGCCCACCTGTCTGTCAGTTGCTGTGATGCTATACAGGTCTTAGCAGAGCTTTCAGACTAAGACAAAGTAAGAAGAAAGGCCTGGTGATCTACTTCTGGAAACACAGCCAGTGAAAACCCTATGGACCACAATGGACCCTTGTGGATTACACAACCAGTTAGTGGCATGGCACAGAGCTGAGCACCAGTGTGTCTCCTTGTGCCCAGGGTCACCATGATTTGGGAGTCAACTTCCTGGCAGCTAACAACAGTAGCAGAGTTACTGTAAAGAAATTAACCTGACCTAAAGGAAAATAGGGTCAAACATTCCCATCTCTGCTATAGGAAGTATGACTGTCAAGTTACCATGAGTTCTGTTCTTTGGCCAGGTGGGTAATACATGAGAATCACTGATATATATGAATTTCAATCTCCAACTACCATTTTAAAGTAAAGTCTGTAAGTAACCCAAAATGCTTGTGAGTAGTCTTTGCAGAATAACTATGACCTTTGTAAGATTATAGCATACCTTCCCTTGTGCAGGGATGGATTCCCTTTTGAAGAGGCACTTTGCCCCTTTCTGAAGTTTGTGTAGTGATCTTATCAGCAGCCTGCTTATATGTCATTTCTGTGACAGGTTAGTTTCTGTATTTGAACCCAAATGTTCTATAAAATAAGTAGAAATACCTGTAAATTGAATCTTGAAAGGCATACCCTTGCATTTTATAGTAATGAATAATGTGATTTATCTGCTTTCCAAAGTGTATTTCCTTCTGATTCTCATTCTCTGAATTTTTGCTCTCCTCTTTTAAATAAGCTTCATTTATGGTTCATCCATCTTTTACCCAACATCCCCTAAAACTTATTTAATGTCTGCCTTACTAAACAAACTCCACTGTCAATTTGTTCAGTGCAGTGACAGTAAGCGCCATGTGAGTGTTAAATGGATCCAACCTTTGCATACGGTCTTGGCATTTGCATTTCTTGCAGGGTGTCTCCCTTAGTGGTTAGGAAACTGCTCTTGTCACATTACTGGCTTGATCTCCTTTCCCTTCAAGTTTCATTTTCAGCTGAATCTGAATGCTTCTGTTGTTAAAGCCTTCTGCAGTTTGTAAGCCTTATTTTAAACCTCCAAACTCATATCTTAACCCAAAAATATTTTACCAAATACATCAGCTGTTAACTTATTATGTATGACAGTTGTTTGTTTTTAGATGTAGGAAGACTAAAGGTATATGAATTAGCTATCATGCTTTATGAAAGCATTTGTTGAGATTGATAACAAAAAATGAAATAGATTTTTTTTTTCTTACTCCAGGAAGTGATTTTTTTATAACTCCTCCCTGCACACACACACCCACACACACACACACACCATTCTGATAATCCAAATGTGTTCATACAGGCATTCTTTCATTAGGCTCAATCAGAGCTCATCTTCAGGAGACAACATGACATGGATTTCACACCTTTCACTGGTCACCAAATCCCATTGTCTACAAAGCACAGCTGAGCTGAAGTCTGTCTTTGTGTGTGAAATCTTCCCAAATTCCTCTAATTTTCCCTCACCAACATAATCCCCTCCTGTGGTTTTCTACCAGTAGCCTGTATGTCACCAGTTAGCACATGATTCTCTGTTACCTTATGTCATTTCTCACAGCATGGTGTTTTTGCTTCCATGCCCAATTTTTTAAATCCTTGATGATAAGGCTGAGTCTTGTACTTTTTTAACTATACTTAAATATGGATCATAAAAGCTAAACGAGCCTCTTATCTAACAGTATTAATATTAAGAGGTTATCTAGCTCATGTTCATTTTAAGGAAGAAAGTCATAGAGAAGGTAAGTGATTTGTGCTAATAAGTTAGTAGATTTGGGGATTTAATGCTTGTAGAGTGGGACCAAAAAAATTATATATGTGTATATATATGTGTGTGTGTGTGTGTGTGTGTGTGTGTGTGTGTATTTAGTAGATAGGTATATAGCATACATATAAGTAGGTAGGTAGATAGAGATAAATTTGTTTATACCTTTTTACTTTCTCTAATACTTTTTAGAAGAAACTCTGGTGGTGTAGAGGCTAAAGCATTTGGTTGCTAACCCAAAGGTCAGCAGTTCAAAACCACCAGCTGCTCCGTGGAAGAAAGATGTGGCAATCTGCGTCCATAAAGATTTACAGCTTTGAAAACTCTACAGGGCAGTTCTGCTCTGTCCTACAGGGTCGCTATGAGTTAGAATTGACATGATTGCAGTGGGTTTGGTATTTTTGGAATCCTTTTTATAACTAAAACAATGAAACATTAGTGATGTACCAGTTATTAAAAATAATTTTTTTATTTCCATGAATTAGATTTTTCTTGGAATTATCAAATTTAAAGACCAAATTTAGATGTCTTCAAGCCTCCCTCATCATTGACACTCTCCCAGATCATGACCAGCTGACATACTTTCAACCTCTTGCCTTACAGTTAGCACATCAGCAAACAGCGTTAAATGCATGCTTATTAGAATCTTATGTTTCTTGAATACTGTTACATACCAGGTGTTTTTCTGGGGACTAAAGATACAAAGAAAATAAAATATAATGAAAGAGAATAAAGGTCTCTGTGGAGAAATTAAAAAAACCTCCTTGGCATGTCTTGGAATGATTTAGCTTAAGGATCAAGATAGTAGTCCAATTTTTTTCTCATTACCTGTGCACTACATATTTGAATGCAGAATTTATCATTCATTTAAATAGGTACATTTTATATTAAAGATGTCCCAATTTTAAATTTACTTTTTATTGGAATAAGAGTTTATGATCATTTAATTTCATAGTGAAAATTACCCTAATTAGATCTTTTTATATCATCATTGTTCTCTACAGAAACTGTTGGAAATAATCAAAATTTTATTCAAATCAGAAGTGTTTTTATGTGGTAGGACTCCTAAAAGGTCTTCTTTAAATGAAAGAGAGGGAAAGGATGATGAATTTCACATATGATAATAAGACTCCATGTATTTTCTCACGATAAGAGATTACTGCATAGGGTTAAATATTAAGGAGAATGGGAAATGTTTGGAACAGCTACTGGCAGCAATCCTGAGTCACCAGGAGATGAGTGAATTGATTGCTGCATTACCACTGGGTGCAGCTGAGGTTAATTGGAAAGGGTTTATAGTTTGTGACTCCATTGTTGCTGGCAGCTTTGGGATTAAACAATGGTTTAATGGTTTGAAGGCCAAAGGAGTGAAAGGATCAAAGGTATTCATGATACTTTTGTTGCTTTGGGTTATCTCCATGGTGAAGAAATCCCAAAGGAGGTTGAGGGGCTAGAGATCAAGACTGTGGGAGAACTGAAACAAAAACCCCTTGCCATTGAGTGAATGCTGACTCATGGCAACCCTGTGTGTTACAGAGCAGAACTATGTCATAGGGTTTTCTTGACTGTAGTCTTTATGGACATAGACTGCCAGGCCTTTCTTCTGCAGTGCTGTTGGGTGTGTTCAAACTGCTGACTTTTTGGTTAGTAGTAGAGTAGGAGCTCTGGTAGCATAGTGGCTAAAGCACTTGACTGCTAACCAGAAGGCTGGCAGTTCAAACCCACCAGCCACTCCTCAGAAGGAAGGTTGGGCAATCCTACTTCCGTAGTGATAATGCCTTGGAAACCCAAGGAGGGGTCGCTATGAGTCGGGGCCGACTTGACGGCACATAACAACAACAACAACAACAGAGTACCAGCCATTCGTTCTGCCTGGGGACATTTTTGATAGGAGAAAGGACAGCTTTCTTCTTATTAAAGAAGTGTGGGAGGAAGGGTCAGGAGATTTCAGTCAGGGAAGATTTTTCGAAGGAAGAGGTTTGAGACTCAAAGCTGTTTGAGTCATGATGAAGCCTGAGGGGTTTACCATGCCTTAGTTTGTGTATGAAGTGGGACAGAGAAGGTTTCATAGACACAATGACATTTAGAAGATGGTCATCAGCTCTCTGGCAGTGACAGATAACAGCTGGGTCTAGCAACATACTTTCAAAGGGGAATGCAAGAGCTAATTGGTGTTGGTAGGTGATGAGGCCAAGACTAAAGGGAAATGGCATAAAAACTTCTTTTTTTCTTGACCTTAGTAAAAGAGCTATTATTCAGCCCATAATGGAGAGGGTGGTGGAAGGAATGGTATTATCATGGGGGCATCAGGGTTCATTTAGAGGGAAAAGTTGAGAAGTTACAAACATGACGTAAAGAACTGTGTTCCTAAGCAGAAACACAGAGTCCACAGACATGGGAGAGAGAAGAGTAGACAGACAGAGGCCATGGGGATTTTAATGAGTGACAGTGACTCAAACTGTTCAGAGAAAATGAAAAATGAGAAACGGTACTAGAGAGAACCCATTACCCAGTTGACTATCAGAGAGGGAAGGTCTAGCCACAAGAGGAACATGGGTTGAATGATAAGTGAAGGAAAAAGAATGGAATATTTATAAAATTCTGTTGCAGAAAAGGTCAGCAACATCAGGTAATTCTAGCATTCTGATAGTTGGGTATTGTTGTTGTTATGTGCCGTTGAGTTGGACCCGACTCATAGCGACCCTTCCTTGGGTTTCCGAGGCAGTATCACTACAGAAGTAGATTGCCCAACCTTCCTTCCGAGGAGTGACTGGT